TCCTGAGTAGCTGGGATTACAGGCACGCGCCACCATGCCCAGCTAATTTTTTGTATTTTTAGTAGAGACGGGGTTTCACCATGTTGACCAGGATGGTCTCGATCTCTTGACCTCGTGATCCACCCGCCTCGGCCTCCCAAAGTGCTGGGATTACAGGCGTGAGCCACCGCGCCCGGCCCATGTAAATCAGTGTCTTCTTAATTGCATTTTTAAGTGGGCATCACTTCTGGTAGGCGTGTCAATGTGCCTACCTTCTAGGATGTGAAAATGTGCATCTAGTATGGACATCATCATCTGCACGACTTGGGTGTGTGGAAGTTTCATGTACATTACCTGGATAATAGACTCCTCCAGGAACTCCACCAGGAATGACCCCAGGGACCCCTGAAAGGAAACAGGTAGAGTCAGTTCTCCAGGAGCCAGAATGATCAGGTTGCTGCAAGGGTAACTGTGGTTTTGCCGTTACTTTCAATGGAAACAAGAATGACGCTGACGGCGGTAAGGACACTGCCTGTCTCCAGGACGATTTCTATTTACAAAGTGTGTTCTCATTCTTGCTCTTTGAAGTGGGCCTGTGAAGTTGGAAGGGCAGAGCTTACTAACATGGTTTTTTTTTTTTTTTTTTTTTTTAGACTGAGGCAGAGTCTTGCCCTGTCCCCCACGCTGGAGTGCAGTGGTACAATCTCAGCTCACTGCAAGCTCCACCTCCCAGGTTCAAGTGATTCTCCTGCCTCAGCCTCCTGAGTAGCTGGGATTACGGGCATGTGCCACCACGCCCAGCTAATTTCTGTATTTTTAGTAGAGACGGGGTTTCACCATGTTGGGCAGGCTGGTCTCGAACTCCTGACCTCAAGCGATCTGCCTGCCTCGGCCTCCCAAAGTGCTGGGATTACAGGTGTGAGCCACTGCGTCTGGAGACTATCATTTTAACAGACATGAAATCAGGCTCAGAGAGGTTAAGGGACATGCCTGGGGCCACACAGCTGGAGAGAGATGGAACCTGGATTCAAGCTCAGGCCAGTCCTTTATTTTTGAGATGGAGTCTCGCTCTGTGGCCCAGGCTGGAGTGTAGTGGCGAGATCTCGGCTCTGTGATCTCCGCCTCCTGGGTTCAAGCTATTCTCCTGCCTCAGCCTCCCAAATAGCTGGGACTACCGGCATGCACCACCATGCCTGGCTAATTTATTTTTTTGTAAAGACGGGGGTCTCAGTATGTTGCCCAGGCTGGTCTTGAACTCCTGGGCTCAAGCTGCCCTCCTGCCTTGGCCTCCCGAAGCGCTAGGATGACAGGCCCCTGCGCCCTGCCTCCAGTCCTTGGAGTATGATGGTTCCCGCTGTGTTACCTGGTTCTCCCTGGAGTCCGGGAGGGGCCTGGGGCGGGAGACACTGGGTCTGAGCGCCTCTCACCAGGCAGCCCAGTCTTGCCCGGAGCCGAGCCACCGGTTAGAGGCCAGAGCTTTGGGAAGGGCAGGCCGGGCTGCCACAGCGAGCATTCAGGAGGCGCAGCTCCCAGCACAACTGCAGCCATCCCCACACTGATAGGACGGCGTGAGGTCAGCGTCCTCAGCCACTGGGCAGCCGAGCTTGGGTGGGGCTCTGGCCGTCTGACACGGGCTGTCTTAGGAGGCGCCGGGGCCGCAGGGGGACGCCGTGAGTGAGCACAGTGAATAGTTTCCTAAGGAAAAGCGAATTGACCGGCCAGGCAGGATCACGAGTTCAGTCCCCATGGACCAGTGAAGCTGTCACTGGGGAACGCCGTGATGCTGGCTCCAGACCCTGCCTGAGCCGTCGCCATGGCAACAGACCCGGTCCCAAACCGGGGCCCTGGCTCCACCTCACCAGGTCCCCCTCTGAGATTGACAAGCCACCTTGCCCACTCCCCAGCCCTGCCCTCCCTAGCTGCTTTTGCTGAAAGGGGCCGGGAGTCCCGTGGGGCATGGGTGGAGCTCAGGGACCGTGTCTGGCAGATCGGCAGCGTGTCCAGGGAGGCCTCGAGGCCAGACGTCTGGCCTCCGAGGCCTGGCGACGCTGCACAGCTGGGCTTGCTGGCCTCAGGGCCCTGTCAGCCTCAGCTGCAGCCCAGCAGGGGCGGGGCTGCGGAGCTGTCACAGTCACCCCGTGCCAAGACCCGCGTGCCACCCCCTCCCCGACTTGTGGTTCCCCAGGCCCTGCAATCCAGGCCTGAAGTGTGCAAGTAATCTGGTCAGAATCTCGAGGCTCTGAGCAGTGGCCCCACAGGGGCTGGGCCTGCTGGGAAGGAGCACTTGGGCCCTGTCATCCGCTGCCAAGTGCACACATGGCCCGCCTCGGGCCTCCGGTGCCTCCTCTAGCTCCAGCCTTCAGCTCTCAACAGTCTCTTACCCGCCTTTCTCTGCCTCGGCTTCTCCTTCTTCCGCTTTCCCCGCCTCCCTCCTTCTTCACATCCCTCCGTCCCTTCCTCTCTACTCTCTGGCTCCAGAGCAGACTGCATGGAACAGTGTGATGGAGGTGGGGGGAAAAGCAAGGCGCTCAGGACAGACCCCTCTGGCTTCTAATTCTGGCTTCTCTGCTTCTTACCCGCTGTGTGACCTTGGGCAAGTCACTCAACCTATCTGAATATCGGTTTCCTTTTTTGCAACAGGAGGCAGATAATCACTTGGTTGCTGCAAGTTGCTGCCGGGTCCTCTTCTGGACCTGGCACACAGTCATTGCTCAAAGATAAAAAGACAGTGGCCCTTATGTTTCATTTTTTCCACTTCACTGCACGGTCCACTGCCCGGGGCCAGGTATACAGGAGTTACTCCATACGTGATGGGTGAATCAAGCGGAGAGGAGGCAGGGAGGCTGCCTGTGGATCCGGCTCTAACCTTCATCCCCATCTGCCCTAGGGGTCCTCCTGCCTCGGGCTTGTTGAGGTTCCGGGCCTGGCTGAACCTGACTTTCTTTATCCTGGGGTTCTGCCCTACCACACCCCAGGAGTTTTTTGGGGGGAAGACTCAGCTTTCCCTCCCCCAGCTCTCCTCCGACCTCACTCTCCACCCCCACTGTTCAGATCCTGATGGTGGTGGCATTTGCCAAACTTCACGCCTGAACCGTGAGGGCCTGGGGAGCCCGAGATTTTAATCCCCATTTTGCAATGAGGAAATGTAGAAGATTTAGGGGCTGCAAAGGATTCCTGTCTCTCTGCAAGTGCAGAGAGGTGGGAATACAATTAGACAGCAGCCGGACATTGGAAAGGCCTTTGGAAAGGTAGCCAGCCTCTTCCCCTTGCCCCGCGGGGCATCCTCACTTCTCCCTCCACTCCTTGGCACAAGCCGTTTCTCCTGCCAGGAATGTGCTCGCCTCCGTCCAAGCCCTACCCTTGCACCAGGGCTGAGCCGAGACTCTCCCGCCTGCCTTCCCCGAGCCTGCGGCTCTCCCTGACTGTGCTGCTCAGCTGGCGCTCAGCAGTTGGCCTGCAGAATGCTTGTCTTGTTTTATGTGGTTTTGGCATGTTTCACCGACTAGCCCAGGGTGGAACTTGTCTCTTGCATCTTAGAATCATGATCCGAGACTCTCAGGGATCATAATAGTCTTCTGGCCTGGGCTGGGGCCTCCTTCCGCAAACATCCTTCATGTTCTGCTTGCATACCTCCCGTGACGGGAAAATCACCACCTCCAGATGCTGTTAGCACTGCCTGCAGACGGGGTTTCCTTGGATCAAGGAGTCTGCTCTTCTGTCTCTTTGGTTCTGCCTGCTAGATCCTGTGAGTCTGAGACTACCCCTCAACCCCGGACTGCCCCTGCCACATTTACCTTTCTTTCTTATTTATTGATTTTTAAATGTTTATTTACTTATTTTTAAAATAGAGACGGGGGCCTCTCTTTGTTGCCCAGGCTGGTCTCAAACTCCTGGGCTCAAGCGATCTGCCCACGTGGGCCTCCCAAAGTGCTGGGATTGCAGGCATGAGCCACTGCATCTGGCCCCGTTTACTTTTATTTTGAGGTCTAACTCGAATGTCACCTCTTCTGGGAAGCCTTCCTGAATTTCCCCACTCTCCTTCTGGCCACTCCCAGGCCCGTCCTGTCTGCGTCTTTTATCACTGCACATCTATTTACACGTGAGCTGCCTCCCCACTAGACAAAACCTGGTGTAAGTAGCAAGAGGGAGAATGAACCCTTAGAAATGTGAACTAATTCAAGAATCAAGAGCCCAAATGAGCAGACTCTGAATAAGAGAAGAGATTGTTCTGAAAAGGCCCATCCCCACGGTCATTTTATTGGACGCATTTTTTCCCCCAGACATTACATTGCTGGAACCTCTCATTGGCCCTAGGAGATGCTTCAGGCAGGGATGTTTCTTCCCATTTTGCAGCTGGGGAAACGGAGAACCAGCGAGCTCTAGTGCCTGGTCTAGGACCCCCAGCTGACCCCAAGTCTCATGTAGGGCTGTCTGCCCGGGCCCTGGGCTCCAGGTTCAAAGAGCTGGGAGCGGGCTGTTTGGGAGCGAGCCTGGGGCCAGCCGGCCTTGGCAGGGGCTTTGCCAAACCAAAGTCCAAGGGGCCGGCTCAGGGAGCAGATAAGACCACACGAAGCTGTTTGTTGTTTGTGTGCAGAAGGCTGCCAAGGGTTTTTCAAAAACAAGCTGTCCTCTACTCGGTGACTGTCTCCCCTCCCACACAGGACACATTCGCCCTTACGCCGGGGACCAGCAGTCAGACAACCTCTGAACCAGTGCTGTCTGCCCCGGCGACCCACCGTCATCTGGGGAGCTTGAAAAGGCTCCGTGTCCAGGTAACCCCCTAACCAAAGCAAGCAGGGATTCTTGGGGGGGGAACTCCAGTAGACAGCCAGGTTGAAAAGTCCTGCTCCTACGTAAGGGTGGGGGAAAAATAATTTTAAAATATTTAAAAAGAGGCGGTGGCTCATGCCTGTAATCTAAGCACTTTGGGAGGCCGAGGTGGGAGGATCCATTGAGCCCAGGAATTCAGACCAGCCTGGACAACACAGCGGGACCCCATCTCAAATTAAAAAAAAGCAAGGTAAAAAAATAAAAACAAAAAAAGGAAAATAAAAGAAAAGGAAACCCCTGTTTCAAACTATCTTTAGTTCTGAAATCAGAAAACAAAATCAAAACCAAAAATCTGATACTATTTCTGGGGAGTGGGGAAGAATGATACCTGGGTTAATTTCTCATGCTCACTTTTGAAACAGGGTGGAGGCTGGGTGGCTTGTCCCCTCCTCCTGCTCCCCCACCCTGCCCCCAACAGGGTCCCTTGGAGATGGGGAGCTTGCATCAATGACACCCTCCTCTTTGAGGGAGAAGCCAGGCTTCCCAGTGCAGCCAGGTGAGTGGCAGCGCCCCGCTGCCCGCTCGGCTCCCTGACCTCTGCAGACTTCAGTAGGACGTCTGTGCAAAACCCCAGAAGAGCCTATCAGTTCACACACCCCTTATTTGGACCTCGAAAGTCCAGCCACCTGGGACAGAGCTGAGACTGATCTCTGCAAAGAGCCGGGCCAGCTGGGCATTTAGCAGTGTCGCTGAGGACACGGGCGAGGGCCGATTCCGCCCAGGGCATGCCCGCTATAAAGGACTGGACTGAGCCCCAGGCCTTTCCCAAATGCTGCCTGCTAGCTAACTCCTGACCCCCTCACCCTCTGATCTGGGGCAGAGAGTTGACTGGTACTAACCTCCCAGGGACTGTCTTAGCCTGCCGGAGCCTCAGCTTCCTTATTTGTCAAGCGATGCCAATCATTTCTAACTCCCGAGGTTCCGTGATGACGAGCTGGCACCCTATAGGTGGTGGCCCTATCTGGGAAGGCGGGTGGCTGGGTGTTTGGGGGGAGACCTGGGGAGGAGGCTGAGGCAGACCCGGGCCGCGGCTTTCAGACCTGGCTCGCTGCCCTGCCAGGCCCGCCTGTTGGTACCCACGTCCCGTGGGCTCGCCCAGGTCCAGCAGCGGGCCCTGAACAGGAAGACCATCCAATCTCACGGAAACAGCTGCGGCTCCTGCCCGGGCCCCTGACTCCGCCCTGTGGCCCCCCTACCCTCCACTCAGCGCCTGGTTCTCATGGCAAGGAGGACTCCCAAGGAAACCAGACCCCACCCAGACCCCCCTACCAAATGCCCTCCTCTTTCCCATGCCTGGGGAGCATCTTCAGTGTCCCCAGTTGTCCACGGCATAGCAGACCCTCAGGGGGCACCCTCAAATGCCATCACCAACTGCGCCTGGGTCGGGGTGCATAGCAGATGCCCTAGCGTCCAGCAGCGGAGCCCTGACCTTCCTCACGGGGGTCCCGGCTTCCCAGGGAGTCAAGGAACCTGCTGAAGTCACACAGCTCACTGCGGCTGAGCTGGTCTCAAACCCAGGTCCCCTGTCCACACGGCCACACTGCCTCTGCCAAGAGACAGACACCTTCTCCAGCCTGCCTTTTCGTGCTTGCATGCCACATCACACACACATTCACACACACAGACGCTCACACCCCGTCACACACACAGTGACAATCCACACCAGTGCCACACCTGGAGGCCAGATCGCCCGTGTCTGCATGCGCACACGTCTACCTGTCTGTCGGTGGCAGACTTCCCCACACAACAAGGGGCATCTTCACGTGCCTCCCCCAAACATACACACACCTGTCTAAGGATGCACCCGTGAACAGACATGTACCTTCCAGAAGTCGCTTGCCCTGTCCAGTGACATAGCCGGCATCTGCACACGTGCGCACCTGTGCACTCACACATATACACACGAGCAATAGTTCCTGCGCGCGCGCACACGCATGCACGCATGCATACCAGGAGTCCCCACCCTCCTCAGCAGGGAGAACACAGCAGCAGCTTCCCGACCTGCAAACCCGTCATCAGCGGAGCCCTGACCTTTCTGACAGGGGGTCCCGGCCTCCCAGGGAGTCAAGGAACTTGCTGAGGTCACACAGCTCACTGCGGCTGAGCTGGTCTCAAACCCAGGTCCCCCGTCCCCAGGCTGGTGTGTACACACCCAGCTGTGCCCACAGGTATGCAGACTGTGGTGCCTCCAGACCCAGGGGTTCCCGCTGGGCCCTCCCCCAGGATGCCCTGATGCCCCACGGGGCAGGCACCTGAGTGGGGACCCCCTCAGCTCTGGCAGAGCAGCAAAGCCTGGACGCGGGTTGGGGCTATTCCGAGTCAAGGGTGTGTTTGGCAGGTTCCTGCTGGGCACGGGGCCGGCTCCTGGACGGGCAGTTCCGAGGACCCAGTGGCCGAGGGGCTCCCACCTGGGACCCCTTGGAGGACCCAGGGGTGAAGGTCTCCCTCGTACGCGTCCGGTCACCTGGCCCAAAGGGCCCGCGGCTGCGGGCAGCGCTGGGGACGCGGCAGGGGCCCTTACCTCCAGGCCGAGAAGGGTGGAGGATCGACAGCAGGAGCAGGAGGACTCCGGGCCGCGGGGCCGCCGCCGTCAGACCCGCCATCTCGGGGAGAAATGCCCCAGCCGGCTCTCCGCACCTCGTTTTATCCCCAAAGCCTAATTGCTGCCTCGTCGGCTGCGAGGGAAGGAGGGAGGGAGAGAGGGCGGGCGGGAGGGCGGGAGAGGGGGGAGGCCTGGGGGAGGGGGCCGCGGGGAGGGGACAGTTACGAAAGGCCTCCCGCCTCGGGCTGCTGGACTGCGGGCTCTTTCCTTGACACACACACGCACACACATGCACACAAGCGCACACTCACACACACACTTTCCCCATCTCTTTCCCGCTTTCCCTCCGCGACTGTTCTCTCGCTGCTGGCCCTGTTCCCGCCAGAAAGTGCGAGGGGGGCCCCTGCCAGGACAGCCCTCGGGAGAGGAAGCGGGAGGGAGGGCCTGGCGGCCCGGCCAAAAATCCCAGCCCCAGCCAAGGCCCGAGTGGCCAGGCTCCCGCCCCTCCGGCTGGGCCCCGGGCCCAGTGTGGGGACACAGGCCAGCTGTCCCGCGCCTCGGCCCCCACCCCGGCGCTCCAGACTCCCCAACACCCCCAGGCCTGGCTAGAGACAGGTTCTGCCCAAAGCTGGGGAGGGGAGGCATCGGGCAGGTCTGGGTTTTCCTGGGGTGGGGAGGGGCAATGTCTGCAGAGGTCAGGGGGCTGCAGGTTGAATGGCCTGGAAGGTAGGATCGGGATGGGATTGCTCTGGGAGGGACCCGGGGGGTGGTAGGGGACCCTGGACAGGGCTGCATTTTGCAGGGGCCAAGGTCTCAGCCTCCTGCCTGAAGCTGGGGCGGAGGTGTTGGGTCTGGGGTGGATGCCTGCAGGGGCCAGGGGGCTAGAGGCAGGGGAATGGCCTGGGGGTTACCGCCATGTCAGTGCCGTTCCCGGGGCATCTGGAGCACAGGGAGGATCCCGACACTCAGGGTTCTGTTCTGCATAGGTCAAGGTCACAGCCCTATACCCGCCCCATGCAGGCCTCAGGGGCTAGCAAAAATCAGGCTGGATCCCCAGGTTCCCTGTGGGGGAATGGGGAGGTGGGATCCCCCTGCAGACTGAGAGGCAACCCAGCTTCCCGAGATCACTGGGTCACCTCCCACCCCCACGCTGAGCACGGCTAGCGCCCAGATCAGCCTGGGAGCTTCTGGACTGCTGTTCTCTGGGCCCTCTGGGAAGGCTTGGGGCTGACATTCCTCTGGTGGCCAGGAGGGGGCGACCTGCATTAAAACAGCTGGGACCGCATTCCTGCAGAACTCTGCATTTCTGCCCCCAGGACTGAGCTGGACCAGGACCCTGGGGAATTTTGGATGTTGGAATGTGTGGGGTGGAACAGGAGAGGGTCGTGTCCCCCACCCTTCGCTTCCCACTATTGCTAGTGGGGAAGAAATGGGAGACCCAGAGAATAGGAGAGGGAAACGTGCTGGTCCTGGGTCACGGGGTCAGCATGGAAGCCACATGCTCTGTGGGCTTTTCCCTGAAGCATGGTGGCTCCAAGGGATGGGTTAAAGGCCCCTTGTGCAGCCAGGATCACTGTGGCAGTCTGGAGTGCCAGCAGGGGTGGCCCTGAGTGGAAAGGTCAAATGCAGGCCTTGGTGGACCTGGAAGTAAATTTCTGGCTCTAGCCTTTCTAGTGGGATAACCTCTCCATAGATCGTCACTTTCCTCATCTGTCTAAGGGTGAGCCACATTCCTAGCTAAGAGATTATCGCAGAGGCAAACACATTGTGGTCCTGTATTTCTGCTAGATCAAGAATGCTCTGTGTTCAGCTGGTACTAGGACTGGCATTAATACCACGACTGCCATCACTCATCCTGGAAGAGCTGTTCTTGTTTCTAGGACAGCTATCAGGCTTCGGTCTATATGGGGCCACCCCAGGACCCTGGACAAACCCTTCCCTTTCCTGGGTCTTTGGAGGGAGCAGCTCTGTAATTTTGGAAGGTGGGGACATGCCAGGAGAATTGTCTTGAAGATGTACACACGCAGCCCGTGTCCAGCTGTTACTTATGGTATGTATTTATTTGGGGGTGCTTTGAGGGTGGCCGATGAAGATTGTGCTGGGGTGAAAGCCCCACCCCAAGCCAGCCTTTGTTGGTGGGGGTCGGGGCTGCTCAGGGGCAGGGTCCCAGGCTCGATGCCTGGGATATGCCTGCTGAGGGGAGGGGAAGTCAGTGGTGCGTCTGCGTGTCTCCCACTTCCTGGGAAGGAGGAAGGCAGGGGATGCTGTGGGGAGCTGGACCCCTTTCCTCTTGAGGCAGTGACGTGGGCAGGAACCAGCTTTCAGACTTGCAAACCGCAGTCTGCAGAGTCTTTATTAATTCCAGGACGGGGAGAGTCCGGAGCCAGGGGGAGAGAGCTTGTATTGGGGGGATCTAGGAGGGGTGTGGAGGGGCCCTCGCAGGGATAGACTTGAGATGGCTGGAACAGACCATGGCCCTGCGTCCTGTTTCAGCCTGTGCGCTGCTTCTGCTTAGCAGCCTCTGCTCATCGCAGGAGTCCCACGAACATACATGCAATGAGACTGCACACATGCAATCTGCACATGCCATCTGTACATGTAAATCTGTACATGTAAATCTGTACATGTAAATCTGCACATCAAAACAGGCCTCAATTCAGAATCAGATCCATTGTACTGAACATCTGTGCTGTGTAGCCCAAGGCATGCAATATATAATGTAAGGACTGGAGATGACAGTCATCAGCCACCATTCATTCATTCATTCCCTTGTTCATTCAAGACCTCATCAGTGCTCAACGGCTTGGTGTCCCCTCATTGCCTAGCTGTATGACTAACTAAGGTCATACATGCGGAACTGCCCACAGAGGGCTACTGGGTGCACTTGGCTGCCTGGTGAGCTCTGGTTTTGCTGTTTTCATCGACAAGCCTCGCCCACTTGTTGCCTGGCTCCATGCTACCAAGGGGCAACCAGATGAGTCACCTACAGGCCATCCCTGTCTTCCAGCTCCTCTCGGCGCACCCCTTTCGGAAGGACGGAGTTCCCAGCCTCTGGAGAGCTCTGAGAATGTCATTGCTTTGCTCAGACACCCTCAGTTGCTATCCAGACAAGGTTCAGATTTCTTTTTTTTTTTTTTTTAGACAGAGTCTCGCTCTGTTGCCCAGGCTGGAGTGCAGTGGCATGATCTCGGTTCACTGCAAACTCTGCCCTCTGGATTCAAGCGATTCTCTTGCCTCAGCCTCCTGAGTAGCTGGGACTATGGGCATGCACCACCACGCCTGGCTAATTTTTGTATTTTTAGTAGAGACAGGATTTCATCATGTTGGCCAGGCTGGTCTTGAACTCCTGACCTCAGGTGATCCGCCCGCCTCGGCCTCCCAAAATGTAGTGATTACAGGTGTGAGCCACCAAGTCCAGCCCTCCTCTGATCTTAAATTTACTAGTAGCCATATAAAATAAAACAAAACACAATTAATACTATTGTCATAATATATTTAACACTACATATCTAAAGTATAATCCTTTCAACATGCAACCAAAATAAAAATTATTGAGATATTTTGCATTCTGCTTTTGTACCAAGTCTTAAAGCTGGTGTGTATTTGACGTCAAGCGTGGGTCTCAGTTTGGACTTGTCACATTTCAAGTGCTCCATCTGCCACACGTGGCCAGCAGCCGCCACCGGGGACAGCGCTGGCTTAGACTGTAAGAGGATTGGCGCGATGAGCTGGTCTTAGTTCTGATATTCTTGGAGGGGGAATCTGGATCCTGCAGAGGTTCAAGGTGGGACGGGGCTTGGGGACAGGGGAGAGGGACAGAGGAGGAGGGATGTCCTTGCTTGGGGGCAGGCAAGGGGCATCCGTGACAAGCAGTCCCAAAGGAGAGGCTCTGCCTTCATGCTGGTGATCGAGCCAGAGAGGGCGGCCACCTACCGTGGGGTGCTCGGCAGCATCGGCCCAGAGCCAGGACCTCAGCTGGAAAATGAAAGGGACCTCTGCAGCTCCTGTCTTCCCAGAGGCCACCAGGGACCCCTCAGACGGCCGGCCAGGAAAGGAAGGGGTCTGGTGCAGGTGTCAGACTTTACTGGAGGTAAAGGGACTGCAGCCGAAAATAGCTGGAATGCCGTGGGCCTGGGTCATTTGCTGGGTGTCACTTCATCACGCAAAGTCAGCCCAAAAGAGGGACAGGCCGTGCTTCGAGGGGGTGCGTTGGACGTTGGGGGAGCGAGGCTGGGATTCTGGAGCATGGTGCTTCTGTGACCCCCAAGGCTGGGAGTTGGGTCGGAAGGGTCAGCAGTCATTGTTGTGGTTGTGACGGGGACTAATATTGATTAGTGTGTAAGCTTGGCCAGATTACCTAATAATAGCGAAGGATGGTGACATCAACAGGAGTTAACCCCTAGAATCCCTGGTTTTCTCCTATGACAGCAAGAATCTTCATGACCACTTAAGAGTCCACACATATCTGTAAGAATTTGGTATACAGCAAGTGCTCAAAATGGGAGGGGGTCCGTGGCACCATTTCAGGCCACTGGTGGTGGCTGGGTAGAGGGGTGGGGTACAGGAGGAAGTCCCATCCCTGTGAGTGCTGCCACCTGCAATCTCTGGCCGTGCTGAGTTTCCTCTGAGCCGAGGGTGTTTTCGTGTCTGAGTCATTTCTCAGTCTGGGTCTCTGGCCAGTGTGAGCCGGGGGTGGGGAGGTGGGTGTCCCGGACGGGCTGTTCCGCCCTGTGCTGTTCCTACATCGCCTCATGGGTTGTCTGTTGCCATCTGGAGGGGAACATCGTGGGCCGGGCCCGCTCTGCGCACCCCCTTCCCATGGGCCCTGGGATGGAGGAGGCCGGAGCATGCCTCTCTTGTTCGCTTGATGCTTGACTGTTTACAAAGCTCACTTCCATTCTCAATGGAGGATATTATTATCCTGGTTCACAAAGAGAAGGGTTAGGAGCCCTGCCTGCAAACTCGGGCCACCAGAAACGGCATCTTGGTGTCTTCCTCAGATCTGTTTAAATTTAGGCCAATGTCACATGGGTGGGTGGCAGTGCATTCATCCCAGTTGCTGGGTCCGTCTTCCCCCCACTCTCTACCCCTCACCAAAATCCAGGCATCTTAGGGCGACCCTGGAGATAATAGGGGTCCTGCCTCCCCCGACCCGCTGTTGGAGGCTGCATGCTCCTGTGCACCCCAAGACGGTACTGAGTCTTGCTGAGGCTGGGGGAGCTCGGGGCTGGACCGCCTCCGGAGACGCTTCCAAGGGAGTGGACCTGCGGGACATTCTGTGATCTCCGGGCTGGCAGGAGGCCTTCCCAGGCTAGGATACTCACTCTCAACTCAAAGATGACTTCAGGCTGCTTTTTGCTTGCAGCTTGGGGAGCTGCTTGGGAAGTGGTGAGAGGGGAGGGTTACAGGGCAGACAGGCACAGATATTCATGACTCAAGAAACTATCCTGCTACACAGGTGAGGAAACTGATCCTCAAGGAAGCACGTGACCGGAGCAAGGTCACCCAAAGGCACGGTGACCTGGGGCTCAAGCCTCTAGGGCATCTCATTCCTCCAGCCACGCGGCTCTAGGGTGGAGCGTTGGTCGCCGCTGCAAGGTCGGCCCAGCACCTGGAAAGCAAAGCCTTTCCTTCCCTGGCCTGGACGCGTAGTGGGACCCTGGCTGAGCTGCCTGCTCCCCCGAGCTGGCTCTGGGAACCGGTGGGCAAAGCTTCTGCGGCTCTCACCCCACCCAAGCGCCCTCCCTGTCATCCTTACCTCCCTGGCCTCCCGCAGCCCTCCGTGCTCAGGAGCCCTTCCAAGTGCCTGAGCCGGGAACGCTGCCGGGTGTGGGGTGCTCTCTTCCTCCTGGTTTTGCTGGTCTCCATCCCCACACCACGTTCGGCCACTCCCCGCCCTGGGCAGAGCCCTCCACCCATGCCCGGAACCCTCAGCTGGCCTGATCCCTGTGGCGCCAGGCGGGTCCCGCAAGGCGGGCAGGGCAGCTGCCAGGATGCTGGGTGGGAGGCAGGCGAGGCTGGGCCAGGGGCTCCCACTGGGCCTGGGGTGATCCACTCCCTTGTTCATTCTGTTTTTCACATTCCTGAGCAGGGGGAGGGGAGACAGACAGAGAGGACACCGGTACCTGCAGTCCTGGGAATGGAGGGTCAGAGCCCCCAGCGGGAGGGGAGGCAATCAGGAAGGCTTCCTGGAGGAGTCAATGCTGCCGGAGCTGAATCCCATTCGTGTCTCCCAAAGGGAGTTGCTTTTCAGGTGGTACACACAAAAGCAGGAAGGCTGAAGGCAGCCCTGACCAGGCACCCGGCCTTTGTCCTTCCGCCCACCCACACGGCTGCCTGCAGGGAGCATCTGAGAGCACAGACCCCACGTGTCCCCGCCCTGCTTAAAGCCCGCCAGTAACAGACTGTCAGAAGATGTTGGCCCTTCCTACTCGGCCAAGGCCACCTTCAGGGCTCCCTTGAAGGGCCGTTGCTCAATCAGCACTTTTCAAATTTCAGGTTGTGACCCATTAGTGGGGCTTGAAATCACTTTAGTGGGTCAGGAACAGCATTTTCATTTTATTTATTTATGTGTGTGTCTAGAGACAGCGTTTCACTCTGTCACCCAGGCTGGAGTGCAGCGGTGTGATCTGGGCTCACTGCAACCTCCGCCTCCGGGGTTCAAGTGATTCTCCCACCTCAGCCTCCCAAGTAGCTGGGATTACAGGCGTGTGCCACTGCACCTGGCCAGGAACGGTGTTTTCAGATGGGATGCAATGTCATAGACCAGAATGGAGTGAAATAAAGTGGAATAGAACAGAACTGAATAGAATACATGCAACTGATCAAATTCAGCACTGTCTCTTGCACTTTTTATCCTTCCTTCTTTCTTTTCTCTTTTGAGACAGGGTCTTGCTCTGTTGTCCAGGCTGGAGTGCAGTGACATGATTATAGCTCACTGCAGCCTCGAACCCCTGCCCTCAAGTGATACTCCTGAGTAGCTGGGACTGCAGGTGCATGTCACCATATCTGGCTAATTTTTTAAGTAATT